TCATTTCCCTTTAACCTGAAGAGCTTCCTTTAGCATTTCTTGTAGTGTAGATCTGCTGGTAACAGCTTCTTGGTTTTTATTTCTCTTCAAATATATTTTGTCTTTATTCTTGAAGGATATTTTTTCTGGATATCAAATTCTAGGTGGACAGTTGGTTTTTTCCCCCGTTACTCAAAACATGTTCTTTCGCTGTCTTCTGGCCTGTTTCTTGTGGGAAATAAATGATCATACACATGATAGTTTTTTGTGTAATTGGTCTTTTTTTCTTCTCACTGCTTTTGAGATTTTCTCTTTATCTTTGTTTTTCAGCATTTTGACTGATGTGCACCTGGGTGGGGTTTTTTGGTTTTTTGGGTTTTTTTATTGAGTTCATAATGGTTTTACATCAGCGTGAGCTTTCAGTTGTACATTCTTTCTTTCTTTCTTTCTTCTTTTTTTTTTAAGATTTTATTTTTCCTTTTTCTCCCAAAGCCCCCCAGTACATAGTTGTGTATTTTTAGTTGTGGGTCCTTCTACTTGTGGCATGTGGGTTGCTGCCTCAGCGTGGCTTGATGAGTGGCATCATGTCTGCGCCCAGGATTCTAACCAGTGAAACCCTGGGCTGCCAAAGTGGAGTGCGTGAACTTAACTACTTGACCACGGGGCCGGCCCCTGTACATTCTTTCTTTTTTATATTATTATTATTATTTTTTATTGAGTTAATGATAGGTTACAATCTTGTGAAATTTCAGTTGTACATTATTGTCTGTCAGTCGTGTTGTAGGTGCACCCCTTCACCCTTTGTGCCCACCCCCCACCCCACCTTTCCCCTGGTAGCCACTAATCTGTTCTCTCTGTCCACATGTATAAATTCCTCATATGAGTGGAGTCATACAGAGATTGTCCTTCTCTATCTGGCTTATTTCACTTAACATAATTCCCTCAAGGTCCATCCATGTTGCAAATGGGACAATTTTGTTCTTTTTTATGCCTGAGTAGTATTCTGTTGTATATATATACCACATCTTCTTTATCCAATCATCAGTTGATGGGCACTTAGGTTGCTTCCACATCTTGGCTATTGTAAATAATGCTGCAATGAACATAGGGGTGCATGGAACTTTTGGAATTGCTGATTTCAGGTTCTTTGGATAGATACCCAGTAGTGAGATAGCTGGGTCATATGGTAGTTTTTAATTTTTTGAGGAATCTCCATACTGTTTTCCGTAGTGGCTGTACCAGTTTGCATTCCCACCAGCAGTGTGTGAGGGTTCCCTTCTCTCCACACCCTCTCCAATATTTGTTATTTTTAGTCTTAGTGATTATAGCCATTTTAACAGGCATAAGGTGGTATCTTAGTGTAGTTTTGATTTGCATTTTCCTGATGATCAGTGATGTTGAACACCTTTTCATGTGTTTATTGGCTATCTGTATATCTTCTTTGGAAAAATGTCTGTTCATCTCCTCTGCTGGGTGGGTTTTTTTTGATATTTATCCTGCTTGGAGTTTGCTGAACTTCTTGAACTTGTAAATTTGTCTCACTAAATTTGGGAAAGTTTTCTGGCTTTTTTTTTTCCCCCAAACATTTTTTCTGTCCAATTCTTTCCCTCCTCTCCTTCTGGGTGGAAGTGGGAATCCAGGCGTTTTGATATGGTTCTATTGATTGCTGAAGCTCTGTTCTCTTTTTTTTTTTTTAAGATTTTTTTCTCTTTTTTAGGCAAGATAATTTTTACTGATCAATTTTCAAGTTTCCTGACTCTCATATCTATTATGCTATTAAGCCCATTCAATGATTTTTTTTTCAGTTATATTTCTGTTATAGAATGTCCATTTGGCTTTTTTTCATTGTTTTTGTTTCTTTGTTGCTATTTCCAATTTATTATTTTGAATATTTTTTCCTTTCTGTCCTTGAGCATGGTTATAATAGAACTTTGAACTCCTTATCTGCTGAATTTCAGTATTTGGGCCATCTCAGGATTGGTTTCTCTTGTTTCCCTGTTTCTTCATGTGTTTAGTAATTTGGGGTTATATCCTGGATATTGTGAATGATATGCTTTAGACACTCTGGATTCTATGTTCCCCTTAAGAGTGGTCTTTATTTTTTATTTTTTTAAAGATTTTATTTTTTTCCTTTTTCTCCCCAAAGCCCCCCGGTACATAGTTGTATAGTCTTCGTTGTGGGTCCTTCTTGTTGTGGCATGTGGGACGCTGCCTCAGCGTGGTTTGATGAGCAGTGCCATGTCCGTGCCCAGGATTTGAACCAACGAAACACTGGGCCGCCTGCAACAGAGCACGCGAACGTAACCACTCGGCCATGGGGCTGGCCTCAAGAGTGGTCTTTATTTTTAATTGTGCTAAGATACATAGAAAATTTGCCATCTTAACCATTTTACATGTACAGTGCAGTGGTATTAAATACATTCATGTTGTTTTGCAGCCATCAGCACCATCTGTCCCCATAACTCTTTTCGTCTTGCAAATCTGAAATTCTTTACCTATTAAACAACAACTCCCTGTTCCCCCCTCCCCTACCCCCCAACAACCTCCATTCTGCTTTCTGTCTCTATGGATTTGACTCCTCTAGGACCTCATAGAAGTGGAATCACACAGAATCTGTCCTGTTGTGACTGGCTCATTTCACTCAGCATAATGTCCTCAAGGTTGATGCATCTTACAGCACGTGCAAGAATTTCCCTCTTTCTTTAAGGCTGGAATAACATTGCATGGTGTGGATGGACTACATTTTGGTAATCCATTCATCTGTTGATTGACATTTGGGTTGCTTCCACATTTCAGTTATTGTGAATAATACTGCTGTAAACATAGGTGTACAGATATGTCTCTGAGACCCTGATTTCAGTTCTTTTGGGTATTACCCAGAAGTGGAATTGCTGGCTCACGTGGTAAGTTTTAGTTTAATTTTTTGAGGAACCTTCATACCATTTTCCACAGTGGCTGCACCATTTTACACTCCCACCAACAGTGCACAAGAGTTCCAGTTTCTCCACATCCTCGTCAACACTTGTTGTTTTGTGTTTTTTTGATAGTAGCCATCCTCGTGGGTGTGAGGTGGTATCTCATTGTAGTTTTGGTCTTTAGAGTGGTGTTTTGAGTTGTTTTTGTATAGCAACTAGAGTCTCCTTTCAGTCATTTTACAAGCTAGGCTACTTGGATTCTGCCTCATACATGTGTCAGCCTCAAATTTGGGCTGAGCTTATATGCGGAATTCGGCCCTTCCCTTCCTGGCTCTCTCCTGTTAGAAGTGCTCCCTTTTGTACAGCTGTTGCGGTTCCCTCAGGCTCTCCTCAGGCACAAAACTAAGAACCCGGACATTGGCCCAGCACTGCTCCTTTCTTTAAGAGGTGACCTCCATTTATCTTCCTGCTTTTGGTCTCTCTCCAGTGCCGTCAGGTAGTTGATTTTTATATTTTTGTCCAATTAGTCTGACATGAGCTAGAATAGGAACCTACTCTGATTTACTTTTAAGAAAAATATTGTGTGAGTCACACACAACACCTTTATATGTGTTCAGGTGTTAAAAGATTGTCTTGGGCATGTGAAGCTAAACTGGAACTTGGAGTTGTTAAATTTGCTCTCTTTTCTTCTGTCCCTGCCTCAGCTGTCTGGCTTCCACCCCATTTGTTTCTGTGGAAACTGCAGATTGCAGTCATTGGCAGCCCCTTATTGCTGCACATTAGTTTCTCCACCTCAACACTACTGGCATTTTTGGCCAGATAGTTCTTTGTTGTAAGGGCTGTCCTGTGTGTTGAAGGATGTTTAGCAGCATCATGACCCCTCCCCAGTAGATGTCAGTAGCAGTCCCCAGGTGGTTGGTAACCAAAGATGTTTCCAGACAGTGTCAATGTCCCTGGGGAGCAAAATCATCCCCAGTTGAGAACTGCTCCTGTACATCGGTGGGCAGCTCCAGTCCTTACCCTCAACTTCTCCCCAGAGTCTGATGCTCTTGGTTGCCACCTTCTTGGGAGCGTGTCATTGGTGGCTGTCATTTTGCACTCTTGGCAGGTGTCTTCCCAGCTGGAATGGGTGCCTCCCTGTTTCTTATTTCTAGCCACCCTTTGGAGTTTTGGCACTTTCATTGGCTGTCCCTGACTGGGGACTGTAGCTGTACAGTGAAGACTCCACATCACCACATTGCAGCCAGAGAAGTCTTCCTAAAACCACCCCCCAGCTGCACTTGGGCCTCATGTGGCCGGCGTGCCATGTTGCAAGTAGTGCATGTTGTGGCTCAGCAGTGTTGCCCTCAACTAGTTCATCTTCAGGTGATGGCTAAATAAAATTTACCATTACTGCAGTGCTCCTTGTGATAAGCATGTAATTTGGGCCTGAGCCAGAAGGAGGAGGGGGATAGAGATTGGAGTACTAGCCTGAGCATAAACCAGAGCTGATGCAGGGTGCTTGCTCACTTTCTAACTTTTGGCTTTTTGGCAACGGCTCCCCCCACCCCCACAATAGTCTAGAACTAATACTGTGCCAAGCATTGAAAGATCTGGTTTTAAACTTTGCTGACCAGGTAACCTTGGGTGCATCGCTGAACCTCTGCCTGGGAGTCCTCCTCAGCTGTGACAAAAGGACTGTTTGTTTTGTTTTTAAAGAAGCTCTTGTCTTTTATCCTTTTGCACGGGACTGGCTTTGTGTTAGCTGCCTCTGGCACGTATACCTGTGACAGGTGGTAATCTCCGTTTGAAGAGTGATTAAGGAGATTGAGTGTTGCGTCCATGGCCACATTGCTTGTTAGTGGTGATGGCACGACTTAAGTTTCCTTGCCTGACTTGTGTTCTCCTTCTTAAAAATTATTCGTATTGCTTTCCTTTAGCTTTATCATTTTGTGATTCTGTCATTTTTGTAATATTAGAACTGCCTCCTGTGACCTAAATCATTATGTAAAACATCATAAATTGCCTCAAAAAAAACCCCCACAAAGCTGTAGGGGTGTTGGCATACTTATCTTGGGTTTTAAATATAATATGTTTCTTTTTCTTTTGTTTTTTTTAATATTGTAGTGTTCTAAGAACGGAAGCATCTGGGCTGAATGGAATTTAGCATCAAAAAAAATCCTCTTTCTGTTCAGAAAGTTGTAAAGTGCATAAAGATGAAGCAGGCACCAGAAATCCTTGGCAATACAAATGGAAAGACACAGAACTGTGAAGTGAATCGCGAATGTTCTGTATTCCTCAGCAAAGCCCAACTTTCTACCAGTCTACAGGAGGGGGTCATGCAGAAATTTAATGGTCACGATGCACTTCCTTTTATTCCAACTGAGAAGCTGAAAGATCTAACTTCTCGTGTGTTTAATGGAGAACCCGGTGCTCATGATGCCAGATTGCGTTTTGAGTCCCAGGAAATGAAAGGAATTGGGACACCACCTAACACTACCCCTATCAAAAATGGCTCTCCAGAAATTAAGCTGAAAATCACCAAAACATACATGAATGGGAAACCTCTCTTTGAATCTTCCATTTGTGGTGATGGTGCTGCTACTGTGTCCCAGTCAGAAGAAAATGGACAAAAACCAGAAAATAAGGCAAGAAGGAACAGGAAGAGAAGCATAAAATATGACTCCTTGCTGGAGCAGGGCCTTGTGGAAGCAGCTCTGGTGTCCAAGATCTCGGGTCCCTCAGATAAAAAGGTATTTATGAGGAGTTCTGTCAGGGATAGGGTGGGGTGCAGCAGTCAGTTCCTGTGAACAGAAGAACCATGTGAGGACACCTCCATATGCTGGGTGGCGAGGGTGGAGGTGGGAACAGGCTACTTGTGTCTGCTCTCCAACTCACCTTGTCTACACATGGTCGATGATGAAGCCTTGGCTGTGACTTGGGCTCCCAGCTCCAGGATACCCCGATGTTGCCTCCTTTAGGCCTCACAGCAGTTGCTGAGCCATTTGTGAAGCCTAGGGAGGTTAACTAAGTGTTAAAGACTGAAATGGCTAACAAGAGGTAAAACTAGTTTCTGAACCCAGTTCTGGCCAGTTCCAGAGCCCTTGACCTTCAGTCTATACTGTTTTCCTGGATCTCCTCTCCAAAGATGTCCTTTAGCCTGATTATGGTCAGTGGAGTTGCACTGGGATCTAGCATGAGGCTTCTTCAATCTGTACCATCTACTAAGGAGTGGGAAGTGGGAAGCAGGGCTATGCCGTGCAGAAGCGCTCCTGTCATCCTTCCCACATGGTTCACTGTCCCCTCGAGGAGGTTCACTGTCCAAAGGGTTTGTCTCCTTGAGGATTAGAGCTGTGTCTTACACCTTCATGTTCTTGGTTCCAGCACAGAGCCTGACACTTAACACTTGTGAATGAGCATTCACTCATCAAAGGCTGGGATGGAGAACCCTAACTTATGATGAAAGAACATGGTGGTTTATATCACCAGGCCTTAAAGTGACACTCAGGATGGCCCACCACTTAAATGGGTGTCAGCCATATAAAACAGCCAGGGAAGCTTGGCCTTGGCAGAAGGAACTAAGGAAGGTGCCACAGCCTCCCCTGTTCATCTAGGGGTTGACAGTCTAGATGAACAAGGTCTACAAGGCATCTGATATTCTTCGGGCTTTAGTTGAAGCTCCAGGTGCACTTGCAGGAGTGGGGAGAGGGAACTTAAAACAGTTTGGGTTGGTATCATCACCAGTGTTGGAATATTTAGTTTAAAATTATAGTTGAGGAATTTTATTTACGATTTCTACAGATAGGAGGGGAAAGATCCAAAATTTCCTGGAAATTGTTAAAATAATGAAGAACTGTGAGGGTTTTTTTTTTTTTTTGAGGAAGATCAGCCCTAAGCTAACATCTGCTGGGGATCCTTCTCTCTCTTTTTTTTTTTTTTTTTTAAAGATTGGCACCTGAGCTAACACCTGTTGCAAATTTTTTTTTCTTCTGCTTTTTCTCCCCAAATCCCCCCATACATAGTTGTATATTTTAGTTGTGGGTCCTTCTAGTTGTGGCATATGGGACGCCGCCTCAGCATGGCCTGATGACCGGTGCCATGTCCACGCCCAGGATCTGAACCAGTGGAACCCTGGGCCACCAAAACAGAGCGCACAAACCCAACCACTTGGCCACGGGGCTGGCCCCCGATCCTCCTCTTTTTGCTGAGGAAGACTGGCCCTGAGCTAACATCTGTGCCCGTCTTCCTCTACTGTATGCATGAGGTGCCCGCCACAGCATGGCTTGACAAGTGGTGCATAGGTCCACACCTGGGATCTGGACCTACAAACCCCAGGCTGCTGAAGTGGAACATGCAAACTTAACCCCTGCACCACCAGGCCAGCCCCCTGCTTTGAGGGTTTAAAAAGATGCTTTTTGAGTGCTTAGGAGCTATTTGGCTATTTCTAATATAATTATAATGGCAATTTTTTAAAAGACTAGCTTGGTGACTTGGGCTGATTCACTGGTTTTTGAAGTGCCCATGGTTGTGGTGAACCTCATTCTTTCATGAGGAAGAGGCTGGTGCCAGTTATTCCTAGTTCTGCTGTGTGGGTTTGTTAAAACTTGGGGAAGTCACCTGAATTTTGTCTCCCTGTCTTCAGAATGAGGACAATAATACTCATTCTCAGGGGGTTGTCATGTGGCTTAGATGACAAATGTAAGCCTGGGATGCTTGTGGAATAATCTGAGACTTATCTTTTTTTGGCTGAGGAAGATTCGTCCTGAGCTAACATCTGTGCCAGTATTCCTCTATTTTGTATGTGGGTTGCTGCCACAGCATGGCTGCTGATGAGTGGTGTAGGTCTGTGTGTGGGAACCGAATCCAGGCTGCTGAAGCAGAGTGCACTGAACTTAACCACTAGGCCATGGAGCTGGCCCTGAGACCTATCATCTTTTGAAAGTGTGTAATGTGACAGCTCTGTGCTAGCCTGCACCATCATGTACTCTGATCTTTTTTTTTGAAGAAGAAGATTAGCCCTGAGCTAACATCTGCTGCCAATCCTCCTCTTTTTGCTGAGGAAGACTGGTCCTGAGCTAACATCCATGCCCATCTTCCTCTACTTTATATGTGGGACACCTACCACAGCATGGCTTGCCAAGCAGTGCCATGTCCGCACCCAGGATCCTAACCGGCAAGCCCTGGGCTGCCAAAGTGGAATGTGCAAACTTAACCAGTGCACCACCAGGCCAGTCCCCGTGTACACTGATCTTGGTAACAACCAGTGAGATTTCAAGGTTTGCAGATAGGGAAACTGAGGCCCAAAGTTGTTCAGCAATTTGCCCAAGTATGTGGAGCTCTTAGGAGGAGGCTCAGGAATTCACTCAGGAGGAGGTCAAGGGCCATGCTGACTGTGCTTTTCTGGAGAGCAGAACCAAGAGTGGTGTGGGCAGGAGGTTGCTGTTGTCAGGTCTTTAGCCTCCTGACTGACCTGTGTTCTAAGATGGAGAAACTGAGCCTTAGAAGGCCTCAGGACTCAGATCACAAGTGGTAGAACTGAGACTCACTCCCAGGCCCTCTTAATGTCCTTACCTTTTACACACTGGGTCCTTTCATGTTGGATGATGCATATGCTCCAGAGAATTGATATCAGTCAAACATGTGACTGAGGCGCAGGAGGGTCACAGTATGGATTCGGGATTCCTTGAGAATGTCTCCTCTGATCAGGTAAGTAAGGCATTGTTAAAGACCATCCACCAGGCCAAAGAAATAGATTTATGTAGAGAACTTCATAAGGTTGAGCACCTACTGTGTGCCAGGCACTGTGCTGACCCTGTAGCTGAGGGGAAGAGACAGTTTTGATAAAGTGATAGCAGGGTTATCATCTGAAAAACAGTGAGGAGAGCATGTTCCTTTTGTGGGGGGATGTGTTTTGAACTTCTATCCTGGTTAATCCTTGGATAGAAGGATGGATTTAGGGGTAGTTGTTGGATGTATTAGTATGTCTTGTGTTGTTCATTTTCAGATTCCAGCTAAGAAAGAGTCCTGTCCAAGTACCGGCAAAGACAAAGACCACCTGTTGAAATATAATGTTGGTGATTTGGTGTGGTCCAAAGTGTCCGGTTACCCTTGGTGGCCATGCATGGTTTCTGCCGATCCACTCCTTCACAGCTATACCAAACTTAAAGGTATTGCATTTTGGGCTGTTTTTTTTCTCTTCTGTACTTAATCTTTCTCATCTCCAAACTTTTTTTTTTTGTCAGGAATATTGGCCCTGAGCTAACATCTGTTGCCAGTCTTCCTCGTTTTTTTGCTTAAGGAAGATTGTCACTGAGCTAACATCTGTGCCAATCTTCCTCTATTTTATGTGGGATGCTGCCACAGTGTGGCTGGTCGGGCAGTGCTAGGTTTGTGCCTGGGATCCGAACCTGCGAACCCTGGCCACTTGAAGTGGAGCGTGCGACCTTAACCACTTTGCCACTAGGCTGGCCCCCTCCAAACTTCTTTCTTACTCTTACTTAAACAGGTCTCCTGTGGTTCTGGTTCTTTTTTTTTTTATTGTGTTAAAATACACATAACGCAAAATTTACCATCTTATACATAACATAAAATTTGCCATTTACCGACCTGTGTATCTGAAGGAGTCTTTTGAATGTCTCTTTGTTCCAGCTACTGGGATTAATTACCTCAACTTTAATTTCATTACATCTTCCCCTTGATTTAGAGTTAAATAATTCCTGTAGTCTACAACAGCCTTTCTGAATGACATTCAGACACACTACCATTTTTATCCATCACTCTCTTCCTGTTTCTTTACTCCTGGGCCCTTCACTCTGCTTAAGCACTTTTACTCTTGCTTAAGACACTGCAGTATTATTCTCCAAGTTGAGGCATGGGTTCTAGAGTCAGCCTGCATGCAGGAGTCCAACTCAACTGGTTGATCTGGTAGTGAACTACTTAATTTCTTTAAACCTTAGTTTCCCTATGTATGAAAAAATGAGGCTGGTGATAACACCACTTGTTTGGAAAGGGCTTAACGCAGTGACTAGTGAGGGCTCAGATATTAGCGATTGTTGTCATCCTCTTTTTTTACTTTTAAAACCTGAATTTTTATTGTAACTGTCTCCTTTCCCCTGATCACCTCTAGGGCCCTTTCCTGAAAATATTCCTGTTTGACGAGTTATTTCCGCTGCGGGATCCTAGTGTTTGGCCATTTAATTTTAATAACTTTGTACCTATTTTTAGTGCCTTTATGTCACCACCTATTCCTCCAGTTTTCACAACAATGCCAAGTGGTTACACGTGGATTCTACCTTGTTTTTATGTGAAATATTTATTGTTTACTCTTTTTTTTTTTTTATTTAAAAACTTTTCAAGCCCACTGTTCAAAGTGGAGTAGTACAGTGGACACCCATCCACTCTCACCTAGATCTGTTGCCCTTAAACATTTTGTTTTACCTGCTCCACCTCTTTCTTTCTATATATAAACACACTCCCCTTTGCCACCTCATCTGAATGTAGGCTGTAGACGTCATGGCGCTTCACCCCTAAATATGTCAGCAGGATCTTCTAAGAACAAGGACAGCTTCCCAACCAACCCAGCACCCCAACCACATTTAAGAAAACATTACATTAGTAACATCCATCGTTAGTAATCCTTGCTCAGATTTCCCCAGTAATCTTCAGTGTTTCCCATACCTGCTTTTTTCCTCGCTCTGAGATTGATCAGGGTACCTGTGTTGTGGTAGGCTGTCATGTCTCTTCAGGCTCCTGCAGTCTAGAACAGCACTCCCTGCTCCCAGCCCCTTTCTTCTTGACTGCTCTGGTCTCTTGTGATCAGATTCAGGTCCTCAAGGCTAGGCAGGAGCACCATGGAGGTGTTATTGTGGGAAGGGGCTCACACTTGTCCCTTTACTGAAGGCCTTTGTGCAGGAAGAAGGGGTGCAACGCCAACAGTGCTTCTCTAGGAGTTGTTTTGGGATGCAGGGGAGGGAGCCCTTGTAATCACAAGCAAATCACTTTCAGAAAATTGATAATGTGTGTTTGAAAAGCAGTTCAGAAGGGAGACAGCCAGGGTGAACACTCTCCAGATGGAAGGAGATTCAGATGACCTTTGAAAAGAAAGGAGGTCAGAGGAGGCTGGGAGAAGAACATGAGGGTAACGGAAGGACACATGCACTAGTTGAATTGCATCAGGAGCTCCTGGTGTCAGATGTCCCACATCCCAGTAGGTGGTGGCCAACAGAACTCTCCAGTGGAAAGGCACGGTCTCTTTTTGTCATTAATGAATGATCTGTCGCCATGCTTGGAGACCAGGTTCCCTTATAACCTTTCCCTGTAGTTTTAGCACTCCTTGATGATCCATTGGCTTTATAAAATGGTAACTGTCCATTTTTATCAGACTTTCCGTGTTTAGTTAGCTGACAGTTTTCTGTGAAAGTGAGCTCCCTCCTAAAAGTAATTAGTTAGGTATTACAGTCCTTACTCTTTTTAATGTTCAGGTTGTCCCAAATTTGGCCAGTGGGAGTCCAATTAAGTCCTTTTCAGCTGTGTCCTTTTGACATGTCTCCATCAGCACTTCCTTACATGTGGCCCAGTGAGGTGTTCTAGGCTCATTTTGTACCTTATTTATCCCACTCCTGGAATTGGCCATTTCTTGGAGGAAACCTGGGGGCTTTTAGTAGAGTATGGTATGTAGAAGCCCAGATCCTGGGCACTGGTTGTGTTCATTGCTACAGGAAATGGAGAATCTACCAGAGATGTGTGAAGTAGGTCTCCAGGCAGTGCTGAGACCTGGCTCCAAGTGGAGCTCTTGGGTCCATTTATAATTCCCTGACACTTGGTGTTCAGCACCCCCATGGTGGGAGTGAGATGGCGAATGAAGGGCATGCTTTAGGGGTTTAGGTGTCCTTGTTGGAGAAGGACAGGGACATGAAGAAGGGATGGCTTCTGGCATGGTGCTGGCTGAGCACGGGGTCTTGTGAAGCAGGCACTTTTTTTTCCTGTAAGATGGAACTCCCTCACCCTACCCCCTATTTCCACACCAAATTTCCTTTCTTTCTTTCCTTCTTTCCTTTGTTTGTTTGTTTGTTTCTCTCTCTCAATCTCTCTCTTTCTTTCTTTTTCTTCTTTTTATTGATCATGCTTGGGATTTATAGATATACTTGAATCTTGATCTTAGTAATGCACTTAAATTTTCAAAATTGAAATATAACGTACATGCAGAAGGGAACACAACTCATAAGCTGCAGCTCAATCTAGATTCTTTTGAAAGTTTAAATTTCCCTTGAAAATCTAAGTTAATGAAAGTCTTAATAGCATTTTTGTGATATATAGCAGCAGAACTTGTCTTGGCTGCTGCCTACCAGGGCATCTAGATGGACTGGCAACTTTGAGGCCTGACGCTTTAAGTCGAAAACAGAAGATAAATATATGTCTTAGATAGTATACTATGAAGAAAACTGGATTCTCTTGCATCTGAGAGCTTCACCATCTCCTGGCACACCTGGATCCTACTATTCTTCTCTTTAGATAACTGGGGTCTGGAATCAAGTAATTTTCTGTTGTGGAAGTTTTTGCTGTCGCTTTTTCTGTGTTATAGAAGGGAACCCTCATTGCTTTATTTCTAAATTCGAGAATTTTCTAAAAATATTACAGGTAATCTGGCTTTCTCATGTCTTGGGGTATTTTATAGTATAATCTCCTCACAGATTTTTTTCCTTTTTGCTTGTTCTATCAGCTACTAAGAGAGGTATTAAAACCTTGCACTTAGATAGTGGATGTGGCATTTTCTACTTGTAATTTTATTGGTTTCTGTTTTACCTATTTTGGGTCTCTGGTGCCCCCCAGGGACTGAACCAGGAAACTCAAGCATAGTGATGCTTGTCCTTTGTTTCCCAGGGAACTCTGTGGTCTCATGTCCTTATGACTTTGTCCCTGTGCTGTGCTTGTTTCTGTAGACACTTGGCCTTGTCTCCTCCTTTATGGCTTCTTTTCCTCCCTGGAGCCTCAGCTCTGGGCAGCCTTGTCTCTTTGTGAGGTCCATTCTGCGTGCCTGAATTGTGATTGTCAACTCAAAGGCTTCACAGAATCTGGAGAGAGACTCTGACTTAGTCTAGCCCAGAGGGTCAGGAGTCAGCTTGAGTCTGATGGGCCGTGATGGGGAGGAAAGGAACGTAGTGCAAAGTTAAGTACCTGGGCTGTTGGTGGAGGCCAGGTTCTCTTAGAAGGGGATGTGGGTCGGGGAGTCAGTACAAGTATTTCATACCAACTGTGGTTAATGAACATCAGAAATCAGCAGGGAAGGAAGGATTACTAATAAATGGTGCCGGGACAACTGATTAATTATGTGATAAAACAATGAGATATTCACCCTCAACTTAGATCAAAATAAAATTTATGTAGATTAAAGAAACCCATAAAAATAGGATAAAATTGAGTTACATTGTTACCAAATTTCTGGGCAAGAAAGAACTTAGAAAATGTTACATTTATTTTACAAATTTGAGATTAGACTATAGTATTCTTCCCTGATTTTTTCTACCTCACATGTAGGGGGGATTTTTCTGTGTCGTTAACTATTTATAAAAAATCTAAGTTCATAGTATTTCATCACATGTACTGTAACAGATTTTCTTTTTCTTTTTTTTTTTTTTGGGTGAGGAAAACAAAAGCCCTGAGCTAACATCTGTTTCCAATCTTCCTCTTTTTGCTTGGGGAAGATTGTTGCTGAACTAAGGTCTGTGGCAGTCTTCCTCCGTTTTGTACGTGGGATGCCACCACAGCATGGCTTGATGAATGGTGCATAGGTCTGCCCTGGGGATCCAAACCCGTGAACCCCAGGCCACTGAAACAGAGCATGTAAACTTAACCACTACTATACCACCACTGGGCCGGCCCCTGTAACAGATTTTCTTTATTATGCAAATGCTATGATATATATCTATATTCATTTTCGTGACCAAGGAAAGTTCTTTCAAAGTATTAAAGTAACGGAAGAAGTCACAAATCCTTTGATATATTTTTTAATCTTAGCTGTTTTAAAATCGAAGAATTATATATACTTATAAACACATCAAATTGTATGGAGAGGTTAATAGTGGAAAAATAGTCTTCTCCCCTACCCAGAGGTAACTACTGTAGTCCCCCCATATCCAAGGTTTCACTTTCCACAGTGCAATTTCAGTTATTAACGGTCAGCTGTGGTCTGAAAATACTAAATGGAAAATTCCAGAAATAAACAATTGACGAGTTTTAAATTGTGAGCCTTTCTCGGTAGCATGATGAAATCTTGCTTAGTCCATCCGGGACTTGAATCATCCCTTTGTCCAGTGGATGCATGCTGTATGTGCTACCTGCCCATTAGTCACTTAGTAGCCTTCTCAGTTATCATATCGATGGTAGCTGTATTGCAATTGTGTTCAAGTAACCCTTATCTTAATAATGCCCCAAAGCACTGGAGTAGTGATGCTGGCAATTAACGTATGCCGCAGAGAAGCTGTAAAGTGTTTCTTTTAAATGAAAAGGTGAAAGTTCTTGACTTAAGGAAAGAAAAAAAAAATGTATGCTGAGGTTGCTAAGATCGTCGGTAACTTTTATTATGGTGTATTGTTATAATTCTTTTTTATTATTATTTATTGTTATTAATCTCCTCCTGTGCCTAATTTATCAATTAAACTTTATCCTGGGTATATATGTATAGGAAAAAAAATGGTATATATAGGGATTGGTACTATCCACTTTTTCAGGCAGCCACTGAGCGTCTTGGAATGTATTTACCCACAGATAATGGGAGCACTACTGTATGTTTATCTCTTTGAATATTTTCTAGCTTTAACTACTATTTAACTCACTGTTTTGGGGGGTTTTTTGTGTGTGTGAGGAAGATTTGCTCTGAGCTAACATCTGTTGCCAATGTTCTTTTTTTTTGCTTGAGGAAGATTGTCTCTGAGCCAACATCTGTGCCACTCTTCCTTCATTTTGTATGTGGGATGCTGCCATAGCTTGGCTTGATGAGTGGTGTATAGGTCCATGCCCGGGATATGAACCTGCGAACCCTTAGCCACCAAAGTGGAATGCGCATACTTAACTACTACGCAACGGGGCTGGCCTCAACTCACTGTTTTTATTTCATCAAACAGAAGTGTTTACGTAATTTTGGCTATGTACATCATACAGTGGAAAACCAAGTTGTATTCTGTAATTGCATTTTCTTGCTTGTACAATCTTTTTTTCCCCCCACCGAGTTAATTATTGCCTTTCTTTCTAAATCATATACTTTGCTGTTCATACAGTCTTAATTTTTTCCAAGTATTCGTTTCTCTGTCCTCAAAACTCATCCTTATTATGTAGTTAGTTTCTCCTATTGGGGAAAAAAATGAAAAGCTGTGTTTGATTCCCATTTTCCTGTTCTGCTCCTTTTATCTCATCTGTTAATCGTCTTTCCTTGCTGCTCAGATTTCTTTTTTGGTGTAGGGGAATCCTTTTCTCTCATCTTTTCTTTCCCTGGAACTCTCTTCTAGAATCTTCCTTTTTCCTACTTCAGTCTGTATTACTGGCACTCTTAACCTTTTGCATAGCAATAATCTTAGATTTTCTTTAAGATGCTTTCCTGAGTTACATGCATTATCTTTTGTGGTTCCATACTGTGCTTTTTCTTGATGAGTTTTCCTTTTTTGCTGGAGTACATTTTTGGCATCTTAAGAAAGTGTGTATGGGAGGTAAATTTGAGTCACTGTGGTTCAGAGGACGCTACTTCTCTGTCCTCACACTTGATTGATGGTTTGGCTGGGTATAGAATTTATGTTGAAAATAATAATTCTCAGAATTTTGGAGATATTACTTAATTTCCTTCTAACATTTCCTTCTTTGAAGGTCCTGCTTCATTTCCTTCCAGAGTTCCTCTTGAAGTACTCTGCCATTCTCTTTCTCATTCTATTAACATGGAGACTGTCCTCTTCCCCCTCCCAGCAGCTTGCATGTCACAAAGATGTGCCCTGGTGTGGGTGGTGGATGAGGCATTTAGGGAGGTTTTAGTTCTGGGACATGTTCGTATGTTGTTAATTCCTTGAGGAGTTTCGCTGGTTCTCTTTAGAAGGACAGTTATTTGGGTATTGTACCTCCTGGATTGAAAGAAACCTATAGGTTTCTTAAGGGAGTAGATGTTTTTCATCTTAATCTTTTTCTTCTTTCTGGGAGATTTCTTAAGTTACCCTCCAAGCTTTCTTTTTGAACTTTATTTTCATAATTGTATTTTAAAATTTCTAATGGCTCTTTCTTTTTTCTTCTCTTTTCAGAGTTTTCCTTGTCAGGTGTCTTCTCTTCCTGGCGTTGTGTCTGTGGCCCTGCAGAGACTGTTGATTTCTGTGTATTTTGGAATCGTTCATGCCGGAGGCTTCCCTGGGTCCTGGGGGTCCTTGGTGCTGGGCTTGTGTCTGAGAGGGCAGCGCTCAGAGCTGTCTGTAGCCTGCGTGTGGGGAGACTGATACCTTATTTAGGAGAGTCTTGCTGGCCATTGGCCACTTAGTTGGAGGAATCTTCAAAAGACTCAGTAAAGAGATTTTTCCTCTGGGGTGTGTTGGTTCTCTAGGAAGTGTTCTTTGATTTCTTGTGGTCAGCGTTCTGTATGAGGGAACAGGGACTGGCAGTTGCCTGATGGAGAGTCCCGTTTCTCCCCTCACTTGGCACAGGGATCTGACCTTTTAACCGGCTTACTTGTTTGCAGCCTCACCTCTACCTCAGCTGAATCTGGTACCCCCCTCTCTTGGGTTTTGGGCCAAGTGTCTCTTTCCTCGCCTAGGTCCCTTCTGGCTGCACTGTAGGATGTGGCTTCTTCGTTTCTGCTAAGAGTGACCGCATGGACATCTGAGGGGTTACTCTGTGCCCTCATGGCTTCCCTGGAGGTGTGGAGGTCATTGGTGCCCTTATCCCCTCTCTGAGAACTGTCAGTGAGTGGCCAGCCTAAGGCTGCCCAACTAGTAGGTGGTGGGGCTTGAATTTGAACCCAGGCTGTCTGATACCCCTCTGTGCCCCTTCACTGCTGTCTAGTCCCCTCTTTGTTGAATGGCCCTTTTGCTGATGTCCTCTCTTGTCTTACTTATCTTTTTACATGGACCTTGGAAGGGAGGAATTAAAGGAGTGCATTTCATCAGCTTTCTTTCCCAGTCAATTTTGAGCCTTATCTGAGTCTTATCATAAATGCGTTTCCCTCTTTGGCATGGAGCATGGTGGGGATAAAAAGAGTAGGATTTATTCAGAGGTTAGCAGACTCAAACAGCACCAAGTAAAACAACTTTAAGACAGCTCCCAACTTCATATCAGTAATTATTAATAGATTTGTCTAATTTCATCCCGAATTCTAACTTTCAAGTTCTAACATTTTATTTTAAAAACTAGGTCAGAAAAAGAGTGCACGCCAGTATCACGTACAGTTCTTTGGTGATGCCCCAGAAAGAGCTTGGATATTTGAGAAGAGCCTTGTAACTTTTGAAGGAGAAGGACAGTTTGAAAAATTATGCCAGGAAAGTGCCAAGCAGGCACCCACGAAAGCTGAGAAAATTAAGGTGATAGATGTTCCTTAAGTACAATTTTAGACCAAAACTTTTATTTTTATTCGTAATTATTTATCTTGTTTTGAACTTTTGGTTCTTGAAATACTGTAGTGGCTTCTTATGTCTCTCATTGTTTACTTGTGCCCAAGTATGCTATGTTATAAAATATAGTAAGTTTCTTTAGAGACACAATGTATTCTTTTTACTCACTTGATAACTCCCAGAGATAATTTGTTTTATGATTTTTATTTTCCTTTATATATATAAAAATATGTATAATATTATATATAATATATCATATATTAGTATATTTGTATATTATGTTAGATAAATGTGATTGGAATTGATTTTTAGTTTAAAGAAACAGTAGAGTTATTATATTGGGCTAAATTCTGTCTGAAACATTTAAGTTAATTGGTTATTACAGTTTTTGATTCCTAAATTTGTGTGAAATTCTGAAAGTATCCTTCTTTAAAGTGGGTTAACTTTTATGTTTGTATAATGAAACTTAAGATGGCTTATGTTTTTCTTTTCAGCTGTTGAAGCCTATTTCAGGGAAATTGAGGGCCCAGTGGGAAATGGGCATCGTTCAAGCGGAAGAAGCTGCAAGCATGTCCGTAGAGGAGCGGAAAGCCAAGTTCACCTTCCTCTACGTGGGGGACCAGCTTCGTCTCAACCCTCACGTAGCTAAGGAGGCAGGCATTGCTGTGGAGTCTCTGGGAGAAATGGTGGAATCCTCAGGAGTCACTGAAGAAGCTGCTTATAACTCCAAGCCCATGAGAGAAGAGGGCATTCCTATCAAGAGAAGGCGGAGAGCCAAGCTGCCTAGCTCTGCTGAAAACCAAGAAAGTGACCCTGGGACAGTAAAGACTACTCCTCAAAAGACAGCAGAGGGTGACTCTAAGAGGGGAGTAGGATCTCCTTCTGGGAGGAAGAAGGCCACAGCCTCCACTCCGCGGAGCAGGAAGGGAGATGCGGCATCCCAGTTTTTGGTCTTCTGTCAAAAGCACAGGGATGAGGTCGGTGCTGTGATAGGTTCTAAGTTGTTTTGTTTTCATTCTGGGGAGTTTCTGAATTTGAGGAACATCCATTCAGTGCAGAATCATCTGTTTCTTAGCATTATCAGCACAGTTTATAGTGAGAATTATGTAGGTTTTAGATTTAATAAGTAAAAATTGTTAGGGAGCAGCCAGTTTTAGCCCTTGGGGGCAACAATACTTGCCTTTTCACTCTGGGTTACTAAAGTGTTCCTCCCAGTGTGTATGAGAAGACACTGGACAGTGGGAAGTGGGTTTCATTGAGCTCCCTTTGCTGGAAGGTCAGCCTTATCCTTAACCTCTGGCTTTGGATTAGCATCTTCTCCAGGAGGCTGTTCTGAAGCTGCCAGTGTGGGGTAAACCCGTTTACAAAACCTAATGTATCCACTAGCACTGAATATGTTGAGTACTTATTTCCATGATATTTAAAAAGACAGTAATATGTTAATGATTAAAACATTTGAATAATTTTCTTAATCATTGTCATAGAATACATGATCTGTTAGTACATTGTAAAGACTTGATTCCATTGTGAAGCACTGAAGGGATTGGGCTCCCATTTTTGGTTACATTCACTATTACTTGAAGTGGGTTGGTAGGGCTTTTCTCAGGAGTGCTAGAATGGAGTGATGTTAGAAAATCTATTATTGTGATACACTATGTCGTAGATTAAATGATCATCTCAATAGATGGAGAAAAGGCATTTGAAAAACTTCATTGCTCTTTGATACAAAGTTAGCCAGCCAGCATTAGAAGGGAACTTCCTTAACCTATAGAATGGCATCTATCAAAAACTGAGCAAACATCATACTTAATGAAACTTTAGAAGAATTCTCTTTAAAATCATAGACAAGACAGGATGCCTTTCTGTCAACACTTATATTAAATATTGTAGTGAAAATACTCACCAGTACAGTAAGATAAGAAAAAGAGATAAAGAAGGATAATCATAGAGGAAGAAGGAAAGCCACCGCTGTCTGCAGAGGCCTGTGTAGGAAACTTGAGAAGATGCACAGAGAGTCTCTAGACTCAACAAGAGCTCGCCAGGACTGGTGGAGAGAAGATCACTATACAACACCAGCAACCAAGAGAAAGGTAGTATTAAAAAGATAGCATTTGGGGCCAGCCCAGTGGCATAGTGCTTAAGTTCGTGTGCTCTGCTTCAGCAGCCCAGGGTTTCCGAGTTGAGATCCTGGGCGCGGACCTACACACCGCTCATCAAGCCACACTGTGGTGGCATCCCACATACAAAATAGAGAAAGATTGACACAGGTGTTAGCTCAGGGACAATCTTCCTCACCAAAAGAAAAATAAATAAAAATTAAAGGGGTCGACCTTGTGGCTGAGTGGTTAAGTTCACATGCTCTGCTTCAGTGGCCCAGGGTCTCACCAATTCGGATCCTGGGCAGGGACATGGCACTGCTCATCAGGCCATGTTGAGGCAGCATCCCACATGCCACAACTAGAAGGACCCACAACTAAAAATACAACTATCTACTAGGGGGATTTGGGGAGAAAAAGCAAAAAAAAAAAAAAAAGATTGGCAAGTTGTTAGCTGAGGTGCCAATCTTTAAAAAAAAAAAAAAAATTAAAAAGATATAATTTATGATAGTAACAAAAATAAAAGGTATTGAGGAATAAATATAACAGTTTGTATAACTTCACAGAAAAATAACTTGGGTATTTTAGCAGACTTAAATAAATGGAAATAGAGTATTTATATATAGGAAGGTTCAGTATTTTGAAGTTGAAGTTGTCAGTTTCCCCTATGTTAAACTATGAATTTAGTATAATTCTAATAAAATTTCCAACGAGAATGTTTGTGCATTTTTTAAGTGGTTGCTAACATAGCCACATTTGAAGAGAAGTTTGACCTGAGGACTTGCCCTCCCACATAGGAAGTTCTGTTGTTGAAAACAGTGACATTTGTGCTGGAGACGTTCAGGGCAGTGAGATTGCCCAGAACAGAGACGGGAAGCAGATGGGAAAGGGCTGCAGGCCAGCTGAGCGGGCTGGCTGCTCAGGACAGGCACGGGGACCTCACCAGTAATTTCAGGAGTCAGCCACTCCAGAAGAACTTTGTCGCTCTGGAAGAGGGGAGCACTTCTTAAGCCAAACTGATCACAGACCATAAAGGAACTATGGTAAAATGAAAATTTTTGTACCAAGGACACCATGAACAAAATGACAAGCTATGTGTACAGAGCTCAAACAATTCCAGAGGAAAAAGGGGGAAAGCTATGAAAATGGCAATTTACAGAAGAGCCTGGATGGCTAATGAGTCCATGAAGAGATGCTGCTCACCCTCACCAGCAGCCAGGGAGCTGTGTGCCACAATCACAGTAAGGTAGTCCTTCGCAGTCACCAGGTAAGCAGGGCTTAAGGGCTTAAGAAGATGAGCAGCTGTGGGAATCCCCATCCAGGGCTGGTTGAAGATCATTTCTTAGACCTGGTTTCAAGAGAAATTTGGCAATATCTAGTGAAATTGAAGATGCACATTCTTTTTGTCTTATAATTTCACTCCTACGTATTTACCCTAGTGGAATTTTGCCCTTGCGCCCAAGGACACAGTACAGTCTTCAAAACTATAAAAAGTTATTAAATAAATGACAGACTGTGATGTTTCTGCAGTGTAACTCTGTACAGCAATTAAAGTGAACTCACTAGGTGTCCAAGAGGAAAACAAGTTACTAAAGATATCTAGCTCCTATAACTTATATGAAGTTTGAAAAGTACAACATACCCGCTATTTAGTTTGCCTTCCTGTCTACCTATATCCATCCAAAAAGAGTGAATCTGTAGCTGTGAAGGTACCTATCTCTGTCCAGGAGCTTTGAGGTCTACCCCAGGGAGATGTTGACACCTGGTGGAGGAGCTATGGCCACTGTTGGATTTGAAATGGTGCAGAGCACTGAGCAGTATGGACAGTTACTGCATTGGACCTGCCGTGGGTGAGAGTGTGAGTGGTAAGCTCTGAATGTACACCACCTGGATTTGACAGCTGGGTTCCCATCACACCTGGTGAGGAGCTGCACACTCTCAGACTTTGGAAGCAGGGCAAGGCTATGACAGATGAGAACTGCCCAGCCAGCCATACTCTGGCCTGTTCTAGTCTGTTTCTCTGTGGTCTCCCCATTTGTTTGAAATTATAGAAGTAAAGTGGGTACCTGAGAATTCAAACCACTTCCCAAAGACTACTTTTTTTGCTTTGGGGGACCCAGCTTGCTCTCAGACGACCCTTTTAGCACTAAGAAATGGACCAAGAACAAACAAGCCTATCACTCCAGAGACTGCTTGACAAGCTGTGCCCTGAAGGCCGGCACATGTTGAGTGCTCTGCACTCGGAGCATTGCTGTTGCCCTGGATCCTTTGAAGCTCACGCCACAGCTCGTCTGGCTCTGAGCATCCCTCCAGAGCCCATGCTGCACAGTTTTGCCACTGGCATCATACTAAATGCAAAAACCAAACTGAAGATGCACAATTAAAGTTCTGTTCTGCATTAGAGACAAACGCCCTGCCCTGTGCATACCTGGTCCCTGTGGGGAATGAGGCGCCTGAGCCCCTTCCCTCTCAGCTGGGTTTGGGTGCTGGTTGGTTTTAAGTAATTATGTGTTGTCAGATAAGTAGTGACTACTAGGATGTTCTTTAACTGTTTCATTTCCTTTGTTGTTATTACAAGTATGTTTGTGCTGGTTGCGTAACAGGTAATTCTAGACTTGAAGAGGAAGCTGCTCCCGATCCTACCCTGTAGGATAATCTGGGTCTTGCTAGGTGGTTTTTTCTTTTTTGGGGAGTGGTGGTGCACCCAAGGAGGGTTTTTGTTTGGTGGTTAATTGATTAATCAGTGGCCAGCCCTTGAGGGACAGAGTTGGATGGAGCCTTCCCTGTGCTTCCTGAACCCTCCTTTTCTAGGGTCGCTAGATGGAAAACTGTGGTTATTCAGGACATTTGGTTGACACTTGCAGACTTTTTTTTTTTAAGTTTTTATTTTTCCTTTTTCTCCCAAAGCCCCCCAGTACATAGTTGTGTATTTGTAGTTGTGGGTCCTTCTAGTTGTGGCATGTGGGATGCCGCCTCAGCATGGCTTGATGAGCGGTGCCATGTCTGCACCCAGGATTCGAACTGGAGAAACCCTGGGCCGCCGAAGCAGAACGCACGAACTTAACCACTCGGCCACGGGCCTGGCCCCCACTTGCTGACTTTTTTTAAGGTCAATTTCTAGCTTCCTTCTTGCAAATGAAGAAGAGTATTATGCTTCTTGAAATGGGCTGAGTTCTTCATTAACATGTTTTGCTGGTTAGTCTTTGTCAGGCTTAGTTTAGATGTACAGCTCATAAGTATATTTTGTGATATTCCTGGAATATAGCTAAAGGGGCTGGACTAGGGGCAGGTGAGGAGTGTTCTGGAAGACGAAGTCCACAGTGGGTATGGAGGCCCACTGCTGTGAACCTAAGTAGGGGAGAGGGTGGACAACCCTGGCAGTAGTCAGTGTAGTGCCCTTATTTTGGTTGCATGCGAGGAACTGAGAGCAGCTGGAGGAGGTTCCCCACCAGAAGAGTCGGAACAGTAAACTTGAACACAGGAAATGTTTACCAAAGACCCCAGAGTTAGTAGCAATTTCATTAGCAGATGTTTTCGGCCTCAGTTTCCAATTTTTAAAGAATCTTTTCAACCTTCCCTGACCCTAATTTTTATAGATCCGTTAGAGTTGAACCAATGCTTTGTGTCTCAGTTTTTTGTGTATTCATTTGTATCAGTTATCTATTGTTGCATAATAAGTTACCTCAAAACTTAGTGGCTTAAAACAACATGCATCGATTATCTTATAGTTTCTATGGGTCAGAAATTTGGGAGCAGTTTAGCCAGGTGGTTTTGCCTAAGGGTTTCTCGAGAGGTCACAGTTAAGATGTTGGCTGGGGCTGAATCATCCAAAGGCTTGGCCGGGGTGGGAGGATCTTCTTCCAAGGTGCTGCAGTCATATAGTGCCTGCAGGCTGCCTCAGTTCCTTGTCATGTGGCCCACTCCATGGGGCTGCTGGAGTGCCCTCACAACATGCAGGCTGCTTTCCCCCAGAGCAGGTGAGCCGAGGGCAGGGCAGATGTCTTTTATGGAGGTCATATGCCACTATGTCTACATCGTATCTTGGCCACACTGGAAGTGCTGTTCAGTAGGGAGGCATGAGTACTAGGTGTCGAGGCTCATGGGGGCCATCTTAGAGGACGGCAACTTCAGCATTCTTCTGAGAAGTCTAAAAAGTGACACAAAGCTCTCAAAAGATGTGTGAGGTGGCCTGTGGGATGAGGGAAGGGAGTGCAATCTCTGAGGAGTACATAGAGTCTTGGATTATACTGGTAATATTTTAGTCAGCTATGTGGGCTTATGGGTATTTGGTTTTCTGTATTTTTTGTATGTCTGAAATAGTTTATTAGAAATGTAAAAGTAGCCACTATTGAGCGTTTACCATATGTCGGATATGTTGCCAGTATGTTATCATGAAAAATTGTATTCATTTCTCATAATGGTCTTTTGAGGTTGGCATAAATTATCCCTGTCTTATAGCTGGCTAGAGTGAGCTCAAAGATGTAAAGCCACTCTCCTTGACCAGTGAGATGACACAAGCAGGAAGTAGAATTGGGACCTGACCCTAATTGTGCATGCGTGTATATGCACATGTGTGTGTGTTTAGAACTTGTAACAGTTGTACAGTGCTGCGTCATTATGAAACCTGTAGACTTTGATGAGCAGCCATTGCTTTATTAACCTAAGATGATAATGCAGACACTTCCTCGGCCTCCTTGGAGTACACGGTATATGGTGAGGAGATGAAAAATGAATGGGTGATTCCCCCAGAAAGTGAGGACCATGGGGCAGGATGCTGGCTGCTGTTACTGTTTTGTCTCCTGTCCTTAGCACCAGCAGTGCTTGAATGAATGAATGAAAGCAACATTGTATCTGAAACTTAAAAGGATGCCTGAAAGTCAGCCTGGTGGAGGAGAGTGTTTCAGGGAGAGTGTGTAACCTGTGGAAGTGGTAAGAGGTAGAGCCTGCTGTGTCCACAGCCTGCTGGGGACTGTCCATTGTGTAGCTTACATGCAGAGTTGCTGCAGGAGTGACAAAGTAGGAAGAGAATGGGCTCTGGGTGATGGGGGCCATAGAAAGCCTTGCCGAGTGGCAGGGATCTATCCAAGGTGTGGGCTGGGCTGTGGTCCCTCTGGTTGCAGGAGGGAGACCTTTTGGGATGGGAATGTCAGCAGATGGATGGACAGCCCCAAGAGCCATGGGACTGGTTGCTGAAACCATGGCAGTTTGGGTGGAGGTGGGCGGATATGAGGATGTTCTGGAGTGGAGCTGGCCAGCCTGACATGGATTTACGTGCAACAGGAAGGATGGCCTCAAGGGAGAGTCAAAGAGTCTTGTTTGATGAATCAGCTGTGAATGCTGTTATGATTCATCATGATTGAGGACATTGTAGTCTGGAGTGGGTGACTGAGGAGGGCAGCAGGTCCACAAATGAATGTGCTAATCTTGAGGAATCTCCAGGTAGAGAGTTCTACAAGGCAAGTGCCCTGTGAATCTGAAACTCAGCACAAAAACCTTTGCTGTGTGAAGGTCTGAGACCGTTGGTGCTTGAAGTGTTGGGGGCTGGTGAGCTCACCTCTAATGAAGAGTGGGGTGGCAGGCAGGCAGACAGGCAGGATAGAGCCCTACTGGGCCAAGAGGGGAGGGTGCCCCAATTTGAGAGGAGGAAGCAGGTGTGTGTGGGGCTGGATATGCCCAGGCAGCGGTGAGGTGGGAGTGGTGACAGTAAGAAACATGACGACTCACGAGGGATGCTGAGAAGAACACCCGATGGAGTGCAGGAGGTCAGATTTGGACTTCAGATTGCAGAAAATGTCCTTGTGATGGGAGGACAGAGCCGGGCTGGGTGTTTCTGTGAGGTGTCGCTCACCCTTGCCTGGAAAGGCATCTACCCTGAGCTCTGAGGGTGGGCAGGAGTTGGTGATGTGCCGGTGTCCAGCAGGGCCAAGGAGGACATGGTGAGGTGCAGGGGACACAGGAGGCTATAAGAAGCTGTGATAACCACATTGTGCATAAGGGTTTGTGTTTTGGGGCAGAGGTTACCTATGTTGGCTGGGCAGGTGGTAGATCTAAGTGGTAATACTAACCAGCCGGCATTAACCCGTTGATTCCTTACCACTGCCAGGTGAAGTGTTACTGCCCCTGTGTCACAGAGAGAAGTGGAGACAGTACCTTAACTTACCCAAGTTCATGAAGCTGCTGAGTGGAGGAGCCAAGTTTGAACCTAGGGTCTGCTCAAAAGCAAGCTGGCTAGTGCTCTGAACCAGTTGGCAAACCTTTTTTGAAAGGACGTTGAGAACAATGAAGTCTCTGTTGCGATTCCTCAACTTTGCTGTTTTAGCATGAAAACAGCCATAGGAAACATGTAAATGAACGCCTGTCTCTGAGTTCCAATAAAACTTTATTTCTGGACTAGTATTTGAATTTCCTATAATTTTTATGTGCTATGAAATATTCTTGTTACTTTTAACCGTTTAAAAATGTAAAATCGATTCTTAGTTCATAAGCCATACAAACACAGGTGGTGGGTCAGATTTGGCCTGCAAGCCATAGTTTGTTGACCTCTGGACCTCTGCTGTTGATGGCTCTCAAACTCAGGTGCATATTAGAAACCCATGGGAAACCATTAAAGTACTGATGCCAGGCCCAGTGAATTGAATTGGTCTTGGGTGGGACCTGAACACCATGGGTTTGAAAACTCCCCTGGTTATTACAGTGTGCAGCCAAGGCTGAGGACCCGCTAGTCAGACTTTAATGTGAATGTGAATCACCTGGAGACCTTGTGAAAATGCAGGTTTCTGGTTGGCAGATCTGGGATAGGGCCTGAGAGTCTGCATTTCTAGCATGCTCCCAGGGTGCTGATGCTGGCAGCCCTGATAGTGGCTGGAGGGCCAGGGAACCTCTGTGTCTTGGCTGTGCAGAGTGATTGTCTTTGTGTGCTGGCCTGGACTATGACAGAGGTCAGGGGGCACTCCTTGGCATACCACCTTTGCCATCCTTCCAAGTGTGTACCTGAAAGAGGAGTGTGGGTGCTATGGCCAATGAGAAAACCAAGAGAAAACCAAGGCAAGACCTCACCTCCATGTTTAGAGGTAGTGTTTCTATAGGACTTTTCCTACTACTGATTTTTCAAGGATGCCTAGAAAATTGTAACTTACTGATAATTTAGTGATTTTGGAAAAGAGTATTTTTTTCTCTTACCATTTATCATTTCCTGCATCTACATAAATACAGTTTAGTTTTTTGTTTTTACCAGTGCTATATTCATTTATGAGTTTTCAGTGAGTTACAGCATCAGTTAAGCACTATTTTTCTTCTTCTTTTTTTTTTTTTGAGGAAGATTAGCCCTGAGCTAACATCCGCTGCCAATCCTCCTCTTTTTGCTGAGGAAGACTGGCCCCGAGCTAACATCTGTGCTCATCTTCCTCTACTTTATATGTGTGACACCTATCACAGCATGGCTTGCCAACCGGTGCCATGTCCGCACCTGGGATCCGAACTGATGAACCCCGGGCTGCTCAAGTGGAATGTGCGCACTTAACTGCTGCGCCACCGGGCTGTCCCCTAGCACTATTTTTCTTTGAAGCTTTTACAGGACATAGTTCCATGATGTGGGAGTAAAAATGCAACATGCTGAGTTCTGTAGGTCTGTGCATTGGATTTTTAGTTCTAGGTTTTTGGCTTTCTTACCTCACCCTTTCCTATGTTCACAGGTTGTTGCTGAGCACCCAGATGCCTCCAGTGAGGAGATTGAAGAGTTGCTTGGATCCCAGTGGAACATGCTCAATGAGAAACAGAAAGCGCGCTATAACACAAAGTTTGCCCTAGTGGCCTCTTCCCAGTCTGAAGAAGACTCTGGTAAACGTAAAGCTGTGCTAGTGTACTCTGCCTAGGTGTGATGTGTGTAGTGTAGCAGACCGAGCTCCGGTCTTGGGACTGTAGGGAAGCGTGTCCGCTCTCCCCAGCTCTGAGCTGTGGTGCTTGTGCCAGCAACCAGAGTGCGTGTGGTCACAATAAAGCAACCTCTGCTGTCTGCATTTCCTCACTCGTTGTCATGAGAGCTGTTCCGTGTGATCCTCTGTCTGGCCTGCGGGTCCCTCGCTCTTCTGCCCAAGTGGAGTGGGCGCTCTAGTCTCTGCAGTCGATGGGGTGGTGTGAGGGAGGATGCCAGAAGGAAGGGAGCCCAGGCGGTCTCTAGTACTCCAGGCTTACGTGACGTGGTAGGGTCAGACTTCAGGCCTGTGTACCCGACTGAGGTTGCCCTCCTGGCTGAGGCTATGCCTGCACCTCACGAGGGGTTCACCTCTGCGGGCTGGAGGCTCTGGACCTGGGGAGGGGGCATTCCTGGCCTGTTTGCTTGAAAGCTCGCAGGGTGAGGAGGGTGACTGTGGACTGACCTTAAATGTGGGTGCCTTCTGGTTCTTCTTAGGCCTTCAGTTTAAAAAACAAAAAGTGCTACTTTGCTTTGGGCAATGGCAAGAGAAGGGAGACTTAACATTGTAAGCTTTGGAGAAAATGTGTAACAATGGTCAGATTTGTCGTCTGTGCGTGCTTGGACACACATTTTGTGGAAAACTGACATTTTTAATGTAAAAATAAGTGTGACATATTTGGGTATCGATTTAAAATACAAAAAAATTCTGTATCTCTCAAGGTTCATCATTGAAGAGTTTTGGAGAGGCCAAACGTAAAGTGTTTCAAGACTCACCTAAAAGGAGACCGAGACCCAGAAGTAATTGCAATTTGCATTATGTGTACTAGCTTGTGCTTCTAGATCAGCACTGTGTATATTTGACTGTAATTGCGCACGTACCGTATAACCTTTCTGTTTTGTTCACAGATGTTTCCATCTTGATTTTAGGGCTTTCTAGATCTTCACATCAACTATCTGATTATATTAATATTGAATTTTATTCAATTTGTTCAGTGTTCATTACAAATACTATGATTTAGAATAGTGAGGATGTTTAGGACTTGTGTATTTTCTTTAAAAGGCAAAAGTTCACCTGACTCTTCATCAGTACGCTAAATCTAGAAAAGTATCCCTTTTCAGTGACTGGCGTATTTAAGAATGAGAAAGGTTTTCCTGAAGCCAGATTCAACTTATCTTTGAAGAGTAAGTGTGAATTTGATTGTGTGTCACATTTTGTCATTTTGGACTGTCACTGAGTAATTAGTAGACAGGAGGACGACAGGGGTCAATTTCTGCCCTCAGTGTGTGTCAGGTGTGTGCTTCTCTCTGGATGCCCTTTAACTCTCCCTTTCAGGGCCCCCAGTGCTAACAGCCAAGATGATGGGCCATGTCTGTGGTGTCAGCTGTCCCCCTTGTCTCACTGTTAGGAGTTCAAACAGATGCCCATATTGCTCATTTCTGTGAAAAACGACTGTGGTCTCTCTCTAGTATAGGGGGAGGTCCTTATGTAAAGGGCTGTGACTTAACCTCACCTGTGGGAAGACGAGGCACTGGGTAACAGTTGCTGCAGGCAGGTGTCTGTAGCTTAGTGAACACATGCTGATGAGGGGCGAACCTGATTGAGGAGGTTCTGGCAAGTCAGGCTGTGCCCTGTAGTGGTTATACTCAGGCAATAGCTGAGCAGATCTCATTGCCCACCGCTCTGCAGGCCTCGTCCTGGTATTCCCTTGTGTCCAGCCCATGGTACCGTGGCCAGGAATGGAGCTTAGTGAAGGCCGGTCGCCAGGCTGGCTCATGTCAGTCTGAGACTGGTGTGAGGGCCAGTGCTTGGCTCTTCTCTAGCAATACCAGGCCTCGACCTGAGGCAGTGCCCTGTGTGCATGTCAGCCTTGGGTGGGATGACCTGCACCTTCTCCCAAGGCACTGCTGGACGCTACAGAGCTGAGCACTCCTGGCTGGTGTGCTCTGTCCCACCAAGTAGTAAGATTTGAGGATGACACTGTCCTCCCACAAGATGTTTGATGAACAGTCCAGGAATAAACCCTGAACCTCTCTGTACAGCAGTTATGCAAATGGAAATACTGGATTTGTATTCAAAATAAACATTGGCATGTTTAAATTAATCATCTCTCTAGAATTTGCACTCTTATCTTACGTCTTATTTTCCTAGGTCAGTACTGTTTGGACACCTTAAATCTTGGATTAGTTGATATTCCTGGGAACACCTAATACATGGCACAGTTAAGCAAACATGTAGAAAGCCTTTAATTTGCAGATACAAATGTAGTATTGCTACTCAAGATACTTCTTTAAGGAAATGTATAAAAAGTAGCAAGTTGTATATTTTTTCAAAGTTCAACTTAAATTCCACTAGTCTTTGAATATTAGTAAGTAAAGGATTTTTTAAAAATACTGGTCACATTTAAATTTAACACTATAGTACATTAAAATATAATTATGACAAATACCAATATAATAATCCCTAGATTAGATAAGGATTTCCAGTATTTGATGTTATAGGAAGTGGTCCCTTGCAATTTGCAAAATGCGGAGAGATTTGATCTATAATACCTATGCCCTGGAAATCAACAGGATTACAGGAAACCCATCGTGGGCTGGATTTGCACATTGAATGCCCTGGGTAGGTGCTCAGTGCTTTGGAGGGCGGCTTGTAGAGTGTTTTTCATGTAAGTTTCCCCCATCCCCATTCCAAGGTAACTTAAATGGGAAAAAAAGAAACCACACAAAGAGGACACAGGACCCAACAGAGGACGTTGAAGTTGAGGATGCACCCAGGAAAAGACTCAGGACCGACAAGCAGGGTCTTCGGAAGGTAATTGTGCCCGGGTTTTTCCTGGGTGGAGGGACGCGTGCTATGTGACTGTAATGGCCGTGTTTCCCTGCAGACAGGATGCAGGAGGCACTCCTGGTGGTTCTTCCTGGGTTGTGCTCAGTGGATACCATTCCAAATGTAGTAAGGCTGGCTTTTCTCTGAAACTCCTTTGAGAAGGCCACTGAAGAGAGCCAGTTTTTATCTGCTGGGGACTTTAACACAAACTTCTGATACTTGTCTATCAAAGAAAAACATCCAGTTTGAGTAATACTTCATGTTTAGATTCAACAAAGTTGTATACTAAAAATGACTCTTTTCTGTAGGGCTTCTTATTCAGTGTGTAAATAATGAGTTGTCGTGAAAACATCAAAATTTATTAGAGATGTAGGTTGTACTTCAGTGAAAAGTTAAAAAAAATCCATTAAAGGCATTGAAAATAGATTTTATGCACTCATTCAATTTATTAGTAATTCATATTATTGTTTACTTAATGGGAATACTAAGCAGGCTGTGTAGGCCTGTTTATATAAAGGCAGCCCCAGAGCCTTAGCGTTCTAGCATATTCCAGCATATGTCAAGGGGCAGAGTTTGCCTGGTACCTGGAGGAAAGTGAAACTGACCAAGGTCCTTGTATCCAAAGGAGCAGTGGATTATTCTGTCTGGCGTATGGCACTCATGCATGTGGAAGATGTGAGCCCTAGCGTGTGCTTAATGACGGTGCACTTCTACTTATTTAAACCATCTCAGACATCGAGTTAACTTCTTCATGAACTGAGAGTTTAAATAGACTTTGTATCTTATATTCGAGTTTATATTTATTTAATAAAAGTTCTGACACAATAGTTGTACTCTGATTTATGATTTTGAGTAAAGGTTCATACTGTCTTTTACTCATCTGAATTAAGAAGTTGCTCTTTTTATTGTTTTGTTTTACTTTGAAGAAGGGAAAATAAATCTCATATATTGCTAAAGTGTAAATATGTGGCCACCATATTATCTTATTTCTTTAAGGCCTTATTTGCAGTTAAGGGGAGCAGGCAGGCCAGGCTCTGCCCCATTTTCCTGGCCGACAAAGCATTCTTTCACGGCACCTGTCAGGTCAAGTTGTTAGTGATCAAGTGTCCAGCAATGAGCTAGGTAAAATTCACTTTGAGTCACTAATGTTTGAAGTTACCTGGAAGCACATCTTTATATCTCCTCTGGCCTCCTACTACTAAAACAGTCCTTTACTGGCAATCATACTGACATTGGTTGCTTTGAAATATTTTTATAAACAATTTACCTAAAAAAAATGTGTGGCCCTAGACATTTGAAACAACAACATTCACATTAAGTAGCTAGGTAAAAATGTTTTTATTAACAGCTCAGGAAATAACATGATAAAAAGAGTAGAAGTGGCTCCTCTGGTTTGGTTTTTATAAACCTGAGTAAGCCATATAATGTATAATTCCTAATATGCATTGAGCACTTTTCTGTGCCAGGTACCATTCCAGGTGCTGTGCACCTGCTACCTTGTCCACAGTCCTGTGACTGCCCCTGCTGGAGTCCTGTTCTACCTGCCCTGTCCTGGGCAGGTGTGGGGTGTGGGCTTTGAGTGCAGGAACTTGGGCTCCTGGGGTGGCAGATTGAATGAGGTAGCACTGCCACAGTGCTATTGAGAGCTTATTTTCAACTATGTTATTCAAATTCTGAGCTCTAGACAAAATGTTCATGATCTCCACCCCCCCCCCCTCTTTTTTTTGCTGTTTTTCTCAGTTGTGAAATGTGGTTAATTGATGATCTTTGGGAGTTTTATCTAGAGCTTGTCTGAGAATTGGAAATCCTCAGTATAGTGAGTTAGAGTGGTGATCTTGGCACTAACTTAATGAAGCTCCACTTGAACTGGACTGAGCAACCTCAAGAGTAGAAGGATCCATTTCCTCTAATTCACGCTCCACTTTGAATTCAGAGAAAAGTTTAGGTAGCATATTGAATACAACTCATTTAAGGTATCTCAACAACGTGACTTAAGTCAGGTTTGGTATGGCACCGTCAGCCGCCCCAGCAGATGCTAGAGTGGGGTTGGGGGTGGGCAGGGGAGAATGGGTTGCAACTGTAGAAGACAGGTAAGGCTGGGCAGCCGCGATGACTTGGGAACGCGTTTCCAAAGGAAGAAGTTCTGTCGTGCGACTTTTCAGCAAGCCTTGTTAGTTCACATCAGATTTTTTTCCTTTCTTTCTTTTTCCCTCGTTCTCCTCTTCTTTTTTTTTTTTAATAACAGAGAGAGATGATCACTGACAAAACAGCCCGAACAAGCTCTTGCAAGGCCATAGAGGCAGCCTCCTCGCTGAAGAGCCAGGCAGGTAATGTGGCCCGTGCTCCTTCCTTCTCAGCTCCTTCCAGGTGCTCTGGGCTGGGCTGGGGTTGAGCAGGAAGGCCTGAGCCTGTCCTCACGGAGCCTCCTTTCCAGTGGAGGTGGGGGTAGAGCTGAGAGTGTCATGGGGAGGCTGGGCTGGGATCCAGGGAGACTTCAGAGGAATTGACAGTTATGCTAGAACCTAAAGGAGGAGGTGGAAAGGAGGTGCTCATGCAATTAAATAAACATCTTTAATGTGTAAATTGTTTTAATGATTCAGCTAAATTTTATTGAAGTTACTTTTCTACTGATTTCTACTTGGCTTTATTGTTTTCAGTTTAAAATTATACTAGCGAAGTGATTTAAATCAGAAATATCCAGGTTTCTTACTTGATGGCACCAATTTGTTGCTATAAATTCCACCAATTTTCAGTATCTGATTCTTTGTGTATATTAGCTAAAAGTAAAAATAATGGCTAGTTTTCTGTTTGACGTGTTGAAGAAACTAGTTTAAATGTTTGTGAAAAATAACTGTCAAAGCAATGGAAAGGAGAGTCAGGCTGTCTTTTAACTTTCATCAATTATCTGTTTGATGTATCTGTCTGGTAGTTTGTTAAAAGAAAGCTTACCATCTCCAACTCTTAATGAGAAAGGAAAAAAATATTCAGGGGAGAATGAGTACATGAAGATTGCAAATGGCTCTATTTTCCTTGTTTTGCATGAGGTGTGTACGGGTTTTTAAAAATCAATTAAACAGGGGCTGGCCCAGTGGCGCAGCGGTTAAGTTCACACGTTCCACTTCTCAGCAGCCTGGGGTTCGCCAGTTCGGATCCCGGGTGCGGACATGGCACCGCTTGGCAAAAGCCATGCTGTGGTAGGCATCCCACGTATAAAGTAGAGGGAGATGGGCACAGATGTTAGCTCAGGGCCAGTCTTCCTCAGAAAAAAGAGGAGGATCGGCAGTAGTTAGCTCAGGGCTAATCTTCCTCAAAAAAAAAAAAAAAAAAATCAAACAAACTTAAAAAGACATTTGTGAGGATTATGAACACTGAGTGGATATTTGATGATATAAAGGGATTGTTACATTTAAGTATGATAGTAGTATTATGGTTATATGTAAAACCTTATGTTTTAGAGATATGTACTGAACTTTTTATGAGTGAAATGATATTTGTGATTTGCTTCAGAAGAACCTGGCAGGGGGAGGGGACCCAGGTATGGATGGAGCCGTGGCGGCCCTATGCTAATGGTTTTGGGGACCAGGCAGCGAGGGCATTGGAGTTCATTGTATAGTTTGTCTGCCTTTGTTTACATTCAGATTTTTCCACAATGAGGAGCTAAGCCCTTAGTATGACAAAGGAGCCCAGGAGGTTCATCTTTAGAACTTCATTTATTAGAGGAGTAATTTTAAAACAGTAAAGACATTGAGGGTTTAAGATTTCAAATTTACTTTGTAAACCAAAATTATTTTACAGCAACGAAACATCTGTCTGACGCATGCAAACCACTGAAGAAACGAAATCGGGCTTCTGCAGCAGCGTCTTCAGCTCTTGCGTTTAGCAAAAGTTCATCTCCTTCTGCATCCTTAACTGAGAATGAGGTAAAATAATAATAATAATAATGATAACCATGGCGTTCGTATGAAGGCCACTTAGTTACCCATGTTGAAGCGTGAGTAAAGGTCAGACTTAATAAGCATAACATTGGTGTTCTCCAGAAATGTAGGTGAGTTTTAGGTTCTCTCAACTATGTAAAAGTCATGAAATGGAAAAAATCACTATTTTAGTCTATATGAGCACTTCAAATATAAATATACACACATGCACACAGTGTATGTATAAATGTACGTGGATATACTTTATTATTGACGCATTTAATTGTTCTCGAAATCTGTCTTAAAAATGCTGTGTTCTATTTAGCTCTCATGTTGTAATTTTTCACACGAAACTAAGTCCGCTTTGGTCTTCATATGACACACTGTGTCATTTGAGCTGACTCTGGTCATTGTGCACTCACCCTAGGTGGGATGAAGGGTGGCTCACATGCTATACCGGAGTCCTGTGGCTTCTGGACCTAGGCTCACGGAGGAACCTCCTTATATGTTCCGTGGCTTTGATCTTTTAAATTCTGGCATATTCTTAGATACTTGAGTGTTGAAGTGAGTCAGAACTACCATGGTAAAATGACTCCTATTTTCTGGACTTGCAAAATATATAATAACAAAATAATAGCTATTTGAGGCTATTACCATCATTGTTTGAAGACATCTAGACTTCATCATCAAATCTAAAGTCTTTGCCATTCCTAAAAACAAAACAAACATGAGCCTCAGAATGCAGGGAGGACACTTTTTTGTCCAGAGGGAGTTTTGTTTTCCTGATTTCAGTGATTGCCCAAGAAACTTATTTTCAGGTTTTAATTCCTAGTTATTTTGTTCCCTGTGATTCTCTTTTTCTCTTTGGCAACATGAGTCCTGTTTTTAGAATATTTATGAGGAGATGCTAACGTTGGGCTTTTTTGCAACAGGGTAGTAAGGCAGGGAGTGGATAGACTCCTCACCCTGTTGGGTCAGCAGGTGGCACTTCTGACCTCGTCTCTGCCATGATCCCTGGTGAGGACTGGGCCTTCTCCTGCTCTCTCAGCCTCAGTTGCTTCCTCCTGTTAGACGAGAGATGGGCCTTCCAGTGTGAGGTGTCTTCCCTCGCTGAAGCCCAGGGACCAGGCAATCTGATGAGGTGTGGAGTGCTCTGCAGCTCGTTGCTCAGAATCTTCAGTGATCTTGCAAATACAGAGCCCTCCTCTGAGTAGGGTTTTCTTCAGGGACTTGAGCCAGCTCAGTAGTGGTGAGGAGCTGCTCACATGTGCGGGACTGGGGCTTTCTTATAGTTTGGTATGCGAGGGTAACTAAATGTTTCTTACATTTGGGCACACCCAAAAAATGCAGTAAGAATTCTTCACTAAACTTCTAGAAGCTTATTGAAACGTGAAAAGGCAAATTCTATTACAAAATATTTTTCCTCTTTTTCTTGTCCAAGTGCAGATTAGTATCCTAAAAAATTAAATGAAAGGTGGTCTGCAATTCTAAAGAAGAAGAATACTAAAAATAAGATGTTTCAATTCCACAGACCCTTTTGCTTAAGTTGGCTTTTTTGTTTAAAAACATTTTTAATGAGTTTTTCTTGCATCATATTTTGGTCCACTTATTTGGTTGAGTTTTTACTTATACTGTTGTCAGATAGAATTGAAAGAAAAACGCTGAGGCTGCTGAAATCTTGTCTGTTGTTCCTGATCCTAAGTCGTGTGTGTTAAAGGCTTGGATTTAGAGTAGCACCTGAGGGCACAGCTGGCAGGGCAGATATGGAAATACATTGGGTAGACATGCCTAATAGCCTGAGACTCATTTTGACCAGGGTGAGTTTAATCCTTCTGGCTTAGACATTTGTTCTGAACTTAGGAAGACTCAGATGAAGCGTTTTATAATATTAGAGTTAATTGATTTTTGATTCTTTATAACTTCAGAAATGGATAGATTATTAAATACGTTTATATTATATATTAACTACATTAAAATCATATACCTTCCTGCATTTTGAAGGTGATACATAGATCCTTTAGATCACTTAGTGTGCATTCTGTTCCTTATAAAAAAGATTTAAATTACTAGGCTTTTTCCATCAGGCCACTTTTGTGTGGCTTATATAAATCTTCCACTAGAGTTCATTTTTTACAGAATTATACCGTTTGTTAAAACCACTTTAGGTGAACCAAAAGGCTTACTTATTATGTATTAACTACTGAATGACAGTATGCGTTTACAGTGTGTACCATGCTGAATCCCTTTCAGCGTGAGGTAAAGTGTAGTGTTATAAAGTTCATCCTGTAAACCACAGGGTTTGATTCTGATGGAAGTTAGGCAACCATGGGAGTTGCTGTTTGGGGGTTCATGCTGGCCCCTAATTTGGGTCACATGCCCTTTGCATGTTTGTATTGCCTTCCTTCCTTACCCTTGATTGAAATAAGGAATTTTCACTTGGTTGGTATTTTAAGACATTTTTGATCATGTGGTGGCTTAAATTCTTCTCAAAAAAAGTATATGTGATAAATAAAATTTATATTAGTATAATTATTACGTAATACTACATCACCCTAATGAAGAGGATGGATTAAAATTACCCACTTGCATGACAGAGGCCTGTGAAGGAATTACTGTGATTTAAGTGTTTTGTAACTTCATTTCTTATTCCCTTAGTAGAGCAAATTCTTATTTTTTTCGCCTTCACTGGTAACAGCTTTTATGGGAGCCCACATCAGTCAAGTTGGATTTGAACTCAGCTGCCCTGTACTGCACTTAAAATGATGTAATATTCCAAGATGTCTGCTGCAGGTGGTATCATCGTACACACTAAGTGACATTCCTATCACAATCATTTTATGGAAGATGTGTGATAATCTGTTTTTACTGGTATTAATAAACACATACAATGAAGAAAACAGATAACAAATTTTAAGACCAAGGTAAGATACCTAATCAAGGCCATTTAACCAATCACATTCATCTCATAGTAGAAACACGTTCATATTCTAGTGATCAATGTAGATTTCAAATTGAAAGGATGCCCTTCAATCAGGGGCTGTCCTGGACCTTTGACAAGGATGCCCTACTGAAGGGGTTAGTCTTGTTAAAGGTCATATTTCTCCTATAGTTCATAACTTACTGAATTTTTATTGAAAAATGTCAGCATCTGTACCTTCAAAACCAGAACAAATAGCACACATTAAAAGGAGTCCTTGTCACCTATTCTCATTGCCAATGGAATGTATTCAGTACTGTAGATATGAAACTAATTTCCAACATAAAAGGCAGGAAGAGTTTTGATTCTGTCCTTTTTTACTAAACAGTTTTACTATGACACTAGATATAGTAAATTTGTAGGAAAAAATATAATTTACAGTATCATTGTGAACCATTTAACTCTACTATTTTGATTCAAAGACTAATATCTAGGGGATACCATAATCAGGTTATTTACACCAACCACTTCATCAGTTCTTTTGTAGAACATCAGCCATCATGTTAAATGTCTCAATCTGGGTGACCTTCTGGGGTTGTGCCCCAGGGTGTCCGCATGTTTGCATGATGAGGAAAAGGCCTCACGTGCCCTTCAGCTCATAGAGGCAGAAGGAGTGCTATTCATGTTACCATGTTAATAGCACTTGGTTCATTCCCAGCAGACTCTCCAGATGTGTTTTACCTTTAATGAAAGTTTCTGACTAATACTTGTGTTCTAAACCATTAAGTAATGTAACGCATGTAAGACACTTAGGGTGCCTGGCGCCTTGCAAGGACTCAGTGGTTCGCTATTGTGACAATAATGGTTATAACAATAAAATTAATAAAATCACCATCATTCCCTTTTTATCCAAAAGTATAAATTTTGCTTTGGCATGAAAAGCAATCCTCTTGACTGCATTATGCACGTGGGGATAAAATAAACCAAGAAGTGGCAAACACTGGGTTTGAGTGACATTTGAGGGTACTGGACTGTGACTGAGGGCTGGTGGGGTGGCTCTGCTCAAAAATAATTGGATCTATGGCTTCAAAGACGGTCTAAGTCATGCTGTTCCTAAAGGACATGAAAAAGCTCATGAATAATGTAGGATTCTCAAAAAAAAAAACAGTCACTAAATTAAAGACTGTGAAAAAAGGTGATACAAAAATGGCCCTAGTTCAAGAAATGTTCACCCAAAGTAACGACTCTAGCTTGAAAGGCCTTTGACAGGAATTGAGAGACTTTATTTGAAATTATAGTCATGATTTTGAGCAGATGGCCAGCCAGCTACTGCTATGTGATAGCTACATTAGAAGTCAGCCAACGAATAGGTGCTTTCCTCTCTATGATGAAAGTGAGAACTGTTAAAATGACTGGATGGTATGCCTACAAGAGCAGTATAAAATTAGTATCAGCTGAGTACATAGGGGTGGATGGGGGGACAAGGATGGGCATTATGTAGTGTTTCGCAACTGGAGGAGGCATCGTCGTCCTGGGGATTTTGGGAAGGTGACCAGGCAGGCAGAAGCAGGTGTACTTAGCATCCTGCAGTGAGAGGGACAGACCCACATATGGCAAGATTGTCCTATTCCAAATGCCAGTAGTGGTCTTGCTGAGGGATGCTGGTGGAGGAGTGGAGTTCATGAGAGGCTCCACCCATGGCTTCCTGAAGGAGGTGAGTGGAAAGGACTACTGTTTTGAAAAAGCTCAGGGATGAGCAATAGTTTGTCTGCAAGAGTACGAAAATTCATTATGCTACTAATTTAACATGGAATTCCTTCATTTCCTGAAGAAGTCAAGATAACACCAGTACATTCTAGTCTTAAGTCATTTGAACTGCCTGTTATTGAGATGAATTTTGCTTATGCTGTACATAGAATCGTTGTAATGATCACATTGACTTGCTTCAAACCATCTTCCATATACGACATTTGTGCCTGGTAAGGGGAGGTAACTATGAGAAGGAGCTCTCTAGGATAAAAGATGAGGCATTTGCAAGAGGTGAAAACTTGTCTGAATATACACAAGTTACGTTGTAGCTGTTCTAAAA